TACATATGAAGTTTTCACGTGATGCGGCGATCCCGAGGATTCCAGCCCCTCACTTGCTAAAGCAAGGACAACTCCAGCTAGCTGGTGCTAGCTTTCGTGACTAGACTAGACAAGACCGCGGGTTCGATGATTCAATGTCTGCTCGCTCACAATCCTCCACATATTTGCGCTCCCTCCAAGACCACTTCTCTGAGTCCTCGAAAAGCAAAGATCGCTCTCTACAGGAAATCAATGGAAGTCATAGTTCGCTCTTGTTCTCCTCATGGACCAGTTGCTCCAAGAGTTCCTGCAGAGGAATAGAAGGCACATGCTTCAAGGTCTTTAGAGTGGCGAGTTTTTAGTTCTGAGTTGTACAAATGAGCTTCGGCAGGGTAGCCGACCTTTGATTTTGCTCCATCACCCTGACAAAAGGCGCAGTCTGCCGAGAGGACTCGCGCCATGGGGCATTTGGGATCCTCCTTCAAGGCCTCGCAAGAAAGATAAGCTTGAATCGAGTGATCGGCAAATCTTTGCATGAAATGGTGCTGGTGGTGTTGGTGTGTTATCCATGACCGCTGTGGCCAGGTGCCCACCACAAGGCCTCTTCTGAAAGTCTACAGGATCAATTTGCCGCGACATTCCAAAGATGCCTCTTCTGAAGCACTGGACCATGCTGGAAACGGTCTGTATGCCAGGACTGCCTTGCCGCACTAGTCTCGCAGCGATTTACATCTTAGAGAAAGTTGCCGAGTACTACTGTGATCTCTGTGGAGGAGCCTCATAGTAAGCGTTCAGGCCTTCCACACAGGAACGAGATGAAGTTGTGGCCTTCCAATTGCGGTAATCAAAACGAACAACATGGGTAAACATTTGTTCAAGGTCAACTGCACTTAGAGGTTGCTTTTGTTGATGTTTTTGTGTGAACAACGGCTGTTTTTCCTGCCCTTATACAAGAGTCCATTGTAGTCCATTCATATATATATATATATATGCGATTCAAGCGTCACGCCTCTAGCCCGAAGATATCTTTCGGCGGAGTGTTCCCCATGCTCTCTGGCTCAAGATATGCTCTTGAGCCAAATTAGAACAACACAAACACGTCCTTCTGATCTGTTTTTGTCTGCTCCCAACTCGCTGCTACTGTACACAGGCGACAAACCTACACATATTAAAATACAAATAGCTGTACCAATGTTTGCACGTTATGGTGTCTTGGTGGCCGGCAATGTATGGTGGCATCGTCTTAGGAACCTCCACCAAAGGCATTTTATCCTGACCTGAGCAAGCACAAATCCACCAAACATATGAAAATTGTGGGCCAGAGCAGAGCAACGGGAACAAAATCCCTTACTAAAATATATCGCGCACCCTGGTTTGGATGGGTTCGGAATCTCCAAGAAAGGAATCTTGACAAACAATTGTAAGTGAGAGCAGTTGGCCTTACAGTCTCAAAGAAGTTGAGATGCTGGCCCTTCGAAACAGAGGCTGGGTAGGCGGTCTTGCACAGTTCACAGGGCAAAGGCCTCAATGCTCGAAGCCGGGTCAACGAAGCAAGGCATGTAATCAGATATATTGTGTAGTATGTGATGTTCCATATATCACTAATGGTAACGGGTAGTATGGAAGCATTTTGTATGCTTTTGTAGAAACGGTTTAATTTGTGGGGTGAAGAACTGACTTTGTGCTAAGTTTCACAAATAAATATGTATAGGGATCTGAAAGGTTGTGTGCAGCCTTTCAGTGCGATGCAAAACCGTGTTAAACCAAGGCAGAATAACGGCTCACCAAAGCATGCGAGTCAGTCTGCCAAAATTCAGAGACCACTTTGGACCGCCTCATCAACCACTTGTAGTGAACGAGTCAACGCTGTGTTGCGGTATGTTGTGGTTATGTTTGTTATGTTTTTCATGCAAATGTTTTACGTTGTTTTACTATCTTACAAACTGAGTTGGAGCTACAAAGCGCGCAAACTTCTCTGGACCACCCTGCATCCAACACAACAAAAGCTCAAGCCTCCTTCACCCCAGCCCCCAAAGAATGGCCAGGGCCGCCAAAGCCATCTGTCCACCTATTAAAAAGCATGCTCCAATCCGTAAAATAGGGCATGGGGACCATGGAGCACCTCAACTTTAAACGTCATGAAACAGGCGGCTCCGTCACTTCGAGTCACAAAGAAGCTAAACCATCGCTTTCAGTCCTTTTGGGGCCTGAAGTGTCATTTGGGCTCGTAATGTGCTGGATCTAGAATTTAGTATTAGTAAGTCTATTTACTACTTACTTACTACTTAATACCTTTGCCACCTTTATCCACAGAACCACAGATTTGTTTGGATCGTTCAGCATGTTTGTCCTTTAACATAGTTTTATAGATCATTATCAGGGTCAAGTGCAGAGAGGGTGCAGTTTAGAATATATGTGCAACTTGTTAGAGTTTAAGTTCAATGCTGTGGCTCTTTTGGAATGTTTGACTTTCCGACTGCTTTGTCAAGTCGTGTCCAGACTTTATGTTTTTCGTTCAGCAGATTGCGTTGCATTCCCACCTCATGTTCATAGGTGGCGCTTGTGACCCTAGGTTTAGTACTTTCACTAAGATTCCCTTCAATAATTTTGTGAGCATTGCTCATCTTGCTTAAAAATGAATTTCAATCAACTTCACTCATGTACACCAAACACTCTAAATTTGTGTTACAAAGTAAAACAGTGGTACCAAGGTGTCTGTCTGAACACCCTAAGCAGGACTTTGGCGCAAGAATACAAAGGGTGCAAACGTCAAGAACCTTCCAAGAAAGGCAGGCCAGAACGCACCACAAAATCGTCTGCCTGTCCTAAGTGCCTTTATATAAAATGAGAAATCTCCAAATGCTAGCATCTCTTTTTGTAGTTAGTGCAAGGACTGAGCACTGGAAGCACACTCAAGCAAAGGGTGTGCACTGACATTCTAACAGAGTTCAGCCTTCACTTGTATCCCCATGGTGTGAGCTCACGACTGCCCAAATGTTCCTTCTACAAAAAGCTTGTGGGTGGCAAAACAACAATTACTTTGCTACAAAATGATGATGCCAACGTCTCCCTGGACGCCTATTTACTGTATGTAAAATGTCCGCTTTTGCCTCCCATTCAGTGAAATCCCACACAGACACTTCCAACAAATTTCCACATTGACTGATCCAAGCTCCTGGCCGGTAGAAGTATGAACCCTCCGGCGTGTCTGCAATGTTCAGGCGTCCCTTGACCTGAGCAGCGAAGCGGATCTTTCGATTCTCGGTCAAACCCGGCAGATCTCTGAGGCTGCTGACCCAGTGGCGCAAACAGCCAAGGTGCACATATTCAATAGATCCCTTGCACTGGCATGGCCTTGATCGGTTTTTTTTTAGGGATGTTGAGTACTTTCAAACATCTCGAAATCTCGTGAAGCCAACCTGATCAAGGGGTCATCCTCGGAAGACCCCTCCAACAGGCAAATGCGGCACGACCTGCAAACCATAACTGCGTTTGCTCAAATGGTATCGCTTACTGCTGTATTTTGCTACTGGCATCCAAAAGATCATCTCACGTCATTACCACTGGCATCCACTGGCCAAGCTTTGTTCAAGCCTGTTCCCAAAAATCCAGCATGCAACAACTGAGCTGGCTGCGTCTTGGCGAGTTTGTTCTCATGATCCGCCCTTCAATGCCCACGGTCAATGTTGACAGAATATCAAACGTGTTTCCAAACAATCGGCTGTCCCTGGCATAGAATCAACAATTTACATTTGAGTTCGTTCTCTCAAACAGACTGTGGTTCCGGCTCTATGTCGCATGTAGAGCCCGTCGTGTCATCCAAATGGAGTTCCGGCTGCACGGTCGACTTAGTCAAGCTAAACACTGAGAGAAGCTAGCAATGTCTAGTTCATGCGGGTGTGAAGGTGGCGCGAGTGCAATTGGTGCAAATCACTAAGGCCATGCTCGGGGTCCGTACAGTTTCAGATGCAACCATCTGTCTGACCTTGAACTTAAAGCGGCCAAGCCTTGGCAGTTCAAGGTGCAAAGTCCAAAGAGGGCTGGAATCACCAAACACGAGTAGACACCGTGCCCAAACATGGAATTGAGGTTCTAGCTTGATCACATCACCTTCACAAAGCCTCAGTCCAAGAGCATCTGACGATCGTGTTGGTTGTTTGGAGGCGGATAAAGCCCGAGAGAGGAATGAAAAACTGGAAAGAGAACAAGAAGGGTCGAAAAGGTCTAGTCTCAGGAAAAACAATTAACCCAAAAATGATCCCCAAGACATGATGCCGCCTGTTTGGCAACGGCGACATCGCAAGTTCACCAACGAGTGTTGTGTCATGTTGTGCATGTGCCAAACAATGCTGCGTTGAAACACCTGAGTTTTGTCAATGTGCCACGGTAGCAACATAGCACGGCAATACGTCGGCATAGCACGTGTACCCACAGCCCACATTGCGCAAGCATGACAACACAGCAACAAAATCAACAAGCAAAAACCACGGAGTTTGCTACGGAACCCTTCTTTGGAGCATTGCAGCAACATGTCGGCGCCAACACTTATGCCAGCACATCAGCGTGACAACATACGTGCTCGCATGACAGCATTACATACAGCACATTTTGGCAGCGTGACAACACCTCATCACGTCAGCATGACAAATCGTGACAACATGTTGGCGTGTCAGCATACACTGCACGTCAGTATGACAGAATGTCTGCAAGTTGGCGTGACCATGACAGCTGTGACAGAGCGTCAACTTTTAGAGCGTCGACCGACAGAGGGCCCGTACTGACTCGACTGCGGCCAGCCTAAGTAAAAACCTAAGAGGACAGGATCACCGAGAACCTGAAATCCTCCAATCCTCAAGGGAATGGAGTGGAGTCTAAACACAAACGTTCAGAAAGTGAATCGGCGAAGTAGTAGGTGTTTACTGCACTAGACGATTGCTGCAAAACAAAGAGTGAGACAGCTTTGGCCATACGTAGGTTCATCTGAAAAGCCCGGATCAATATCACCAGCACACATCCAATGTCTTCGTTGGTGCAAGACTGGATGGGCTGCTTGCACCCCCTGCTAAAGGAAGAACAAGTTCAAAGGAATCCCTGCGACTCCAAGGGTTTCACACACACACGTCCGTGGACAGCTCTCTATATACACAACACACCAACGGGACACCGTGTCAGCTCATCAGCGTGGCAACACCTGACGTGTCAGAAGCATCAAGTGACAGCAGGCGCAAGGAAAAGCAAAAGCTGGGTGGTAGCCTGACATGCCCAACATGTCTGACAACAGGCCAGCGTCATGAGGTGTCAGGACTCTACGCCGACATATATCATATATCATATATCTGCAAAGCCCCTCCGCAATTGGTGGCAAGCTGCTCCCAAAGCTCCGGAACCTCCTCTGGAACCTGCTCCAGAATTTGATCTTCAGGAGGGACTGTCTTCTAAAACCCTGCTGGGGAACTTGCTCTGGGGCCTGCTCCGGACACTGCTCTGGAACCTGTCCCCCTGCTCCAGAACCTGCTCCGGAACCTGCTCCTATGGTCCATGGTGAAGACCCCTAAGCTTCGCTGTTGGGGAAAAAGGCATGTAAGAAAGAAGGGAAAAAGGTATTCTATTGAACATCCAAAAGAAACCGTCTTTAGGGTCGGCACTTGTGTCCTGATGTTGCAAGGTCACGTACAACGACCCAAAGCTTCTTGGAGCTGCTTGCCGGTGTTGCCTGGCCGAACAGTTGTCCAATTCACGCGTCAGGTAGAAGAATACAAGGTGTCCCAGAAGACCCATTCAAAGCACGGCTTCAAGAGAAATAGGCTGAAATAGGTCTAGTTGAGTCATCTTCGCTTGACAAAGGACCAATCCACAGCCTTGTCTACCCAGTAGCAGCCCTCACGGTGGACAAGACGGAGCATCGGTTCACCTCCTGCAAGATTGTTCAAGAGTCACAACCTGCAAGAGCGCTTTACTTGTTGGGATACAGAAAGGACTGCCTGCTGGTGGATGTTCGCTGTCCGTAAGCATCTGGACCTAAAGAATGAGCGATCAAGCAATCTGGATCAATCAGGCCCTTCCCAGGCAACTGCATTCGAT